AAATTGCCTTCAACGGAGGTTAGTACAGGCTTATACTCCCAATAGCAATGCATGAGGAATGCATTTATCATGTATTGTGATGCTCAATCTGTATGTAAATATATATTTACATTTTTGATATTTGGCAATCTAATAGTTTATATTTGTTCTTTAAATGTAAACTTTTTGATACTAAAGATTATTTCAAAATTACAGAAAAAATTAAGGATAATATAAAAAACTTCCACTAATTTAATGTTTTTGTGTGTATTGTATGTATATGTATAATGTTTCAGAACCAGTTGAGAATAAGATACTGACATAATGCTCTGTCACCTTAAATTCTTCAGTATGTATTTCCCAAACAAGGACAGGCTACTATATAATAAAGTATGCAAGTACAATAGTCGCAATCAAGATACTAACAATGATACAATACTATGGTCTGAATGTTTCTGTCTCCCGAAAATTCATATGTGGTTACCTAAGCATTAATGTGATGGTATTAATACTAGGAATTGAGGGCTTTGAGTGGTGACTGGGCCATGAGGGTGAAGCTTCACTAGACTTCCCAGCCTTTAGATCTGTGAGAAATACATTTCTAGTGTTTATAAGCTACCCAGTTTATGGTATTTTGTTATAGCAGCCTGAATGGACTAAGACAGTGTCCTTTATGAAAAAAACAAATTTAAAAATGAATAAATAAACTTTTTTTTCTGCTAGACCAGGATATGTCTTGTATTTAGTCATCATGTCTTTCAGTTGCCTTCGATCTGGAACATTTTCTTAGTCTTTGTTTATATTTTGTGACTCTAACTTAAGGAGTACAGACTAATCATTTGTTGAATGCTCATCAGTTTGGGTTTGATATTTCCTTATAATTAGATTTAGTTTGCACATTTTTGGCAGAAATATCACAGAAATAGTTCTTAGTATATCATCAGAAGGCACATGGTGTCACTTTATCCCATTACTGGTGATAAGTTTGATTATTTGAATATATTGGTGTCAGCAGGGTTTCTTCACTATAAAATTCTTTTTACCTTTGTAATTAGTAAGTATCTATGGGGAGTTACCTTGAAACTGCTGATTCTTACCTGAAATTTATTACTATAATTGTTTGTCAAATGTTGGTTTTCTCGTTCCATCTCTATTTATTAGTTGGCATTCTGTTGCAAGGAAGAGCTTTCCCTTCTCCCCCATTTATTTGTTAATTTGTTTTTATGGATTCATAAATGTCTATTTTATTCAGTGGGTTATAGTCTGTTACTATCATTTATTATGATGCTTAGATTGCCTCAGATTTGGCCAGTGGGAGTCCCTTTACCAGGGCTCCTTGTCCTTTTGACAATCCCCATCAATTTTTGAGCGTTTTTATGCTTCTGGCACAATAAGATCTTTCCTGCCTCAGCTCCAGAAATAATTCAAGAGCCCTAGTTCTTTTTTGGTGGAGAAGTATATTTAAAAACCAAGAACTGAGCACTAGGTGTACTCATTGATACTGCAGTGTTATTGCTTTTAGCTCTTCCAGCAATCAAAACTAGGAAGTCTATATATGATTATATGTATATTTATCTGTAAATATTACAAACCACAAGCTCATACCAATACCTCTAATTCTAATTCAGTACCCCAGGATTCATTTTAGTTTGCAGCCCCTTCTTTCATAGCAAAAAACTTGGTTATTGTTATCCTAAATATATTTACCTATTAATTGCATTTCTGTGTAACCGATCTATCAAAAAGGGACCAAATTTAATAGTAAATTTTTTTTTTTTTTTTTTTTTGAGAAAGAGTCTCATTCTGGATTCAAGCAATTCTTGTTTCTCAGCCTCCCATATAGCTGGGACTTCAGGTGTGCACCACCACGCTCGACTAATTTTTGTATTTTTAGTAGAGATGGTGTTTCACCATGTTGGCCAGGTTACTGTATAACTCCTGGCCTCAAGTGATCAGCCCACCTCAGCCTCCCAAAGTGCTGGGATTACAGGTGTGAGCCATGATGCGTGGCTGAGATTTTATATCCTTATTAAAAGTTAGATTATACTTTTTCTCACAGAAAGTTTGACATGATAAAACTTCTGTTGTTTATGTATGACAAAAGAAGCACCATCGTAAAAAGGGTTTTTGCAAAATATTTGTGGATTGCTTAACTTTTCTTAGGGGCCTAAAATTCTTTGATATCCATATCATTCTCTTTCCAAGTACCTATCATGTCAATCTTTTGCAAAATTTGCTGTTTTATTTTGTAGTTGATTGTCATGCAGTCCTCAGAAAGTCTTTGATATTATGGTTGAGGTTTAAGAGACATTTGAATGGAAAGTGATTTTTAAAAATTTGTGACCAGTTGATTGGTGAATAGGTTTTTCTTTTTTCTTTTTTTTTTTTTTGAGACGGAGTTTCGCTCTTGTTACCCAGGCTGGAGTGCAATGGCGCGATCTCGGCTCACCGCAACCTCTGCCTCCCGGGTTCAGGCAATTCTCCTGCCTCAGCCTCCTGAGTAGCTGGGATTACAGGCACTTGCCACCATGCGCAGCTGATTTTTTGTATTTTTCGTAGAGACGGGGTTTCACCATGTGGACCAGGATGGTCTCAATCTCTTGACCTCGTGATCCACTTGCCTCGGCGTCCCAAAGTGCTGGGATTACAGGCGTGAGCCACCGCGCCCGGCCTATGTTTTCTTTTCTAGTGATTCTTACTTCTTTATATAACAACCTAGACATAACTGTAAGGAGTCAGATATTGAATGTTCAGAGCCACTGTATCTTTTTCCCCATAGAAAATTCTCCACAAACAGTTGAGTATTGAGGAGATCATCCTTTGTCCTTTAGCACTTTTTTGTGAAGATTTGGGTCAGGGAATAAATAGGTTTTATGATTTTTGAGTGTATGAGCATTGTTTCTGATCCACGGTATTGAACAGTCAGTTAATAGTCCATTGTGCTGAAGTAGGGGAGACATGACAGGTGTGTCTCTTCTTCTTTCAAAAATACGCCATTGAAGATAATTCTTCCCTAACTAATTTGCCTTCTAGTTCTCATCTGAAGAAGGGCTTTTGAGAAAACCTGTACACTGGGACTTTTCTTTTGAATTCCTGTCTTGGATGGAAGTGAATAAGAATCAGGATAGTAAAAAAAAAAAAAAAGGTCTTGGTTATTTCAATATTGACTCTCTCATATACATCTTTCCATATCGTCCTAAAGGATGTTTGAAACTACTGAGGTGTTATCCATGGCTATTTCTAGGAGGTTGGATTATCAAATTCTCTCCACACTATAGAGGATTTCCTTTTTTAATTTTTTTTTTCCGGAGACATAAAGTCTCACTCTTTGGCCCAGGCTGGAATGCAGTGATGTGATCTTGGCTCACTGAAACCTCCACCTCCTGGGTTCAAGTGATTCTCCTGCCTCAGCCTCCCGAGTAGCTGGGATTACAGGTGCTCACCATCACACCTGGCTAATTTTTGTGTTTCTAGTAGAAACAGTGTTTCACCATGTTGGCCAGCTGGCCAGCTGGTCTTGAATTCCCGACCTCAGGCGATCCTCCTGCCTTGGCCTCCCAAAGTGCTGGGATTATAGGCATGAACCACTATACCTGGCCACCAGAGTACAGAGCATTTACTTTTTAGATGGTTCACTCAAGGGAAGAGCAACAACCAGATGATATGGATATTGGGCAGCAGTTAGTTAACATGGGCTCTAGAGGGTTGTGTGTGGGGGACAGCAATGGGGGAAGGGTGTGATATAAGACCTAATATTAAAGCTCAATTTAAAACATTTTAAAAATAAATTTCATTGTGCATATCTGAGGTTTACAATATGATAATATTATGGGAGATGCGTGTGTGTGTGTAGAGAGAGAGAGACAGAGAGAGAGAGAGACAGTAAAATGGTAATTAAAGTGAAGCAAATTAACGTATAACTTATCACATATACTGTTTTTGTTTGTTTGTTTTTTGAGACTGAGTTTCACTTTTGTTACCCAGGCTGGAGTGCAATGGCACCATCCCAGCTCACCGCAGCCTCTGCCTCCTGGGTTCAAGCAATTCTCCTGTCTCAGCCTCCCGAGTGGCTGGGACTACAGGCGTGCGCCACCATGCCCAGCTAACTTTTTTGTATTTTTAGTAGAGACGGGGTTTCATCATGGTGACCAGATGATCTCCATCGCTTGACCTCGTGATCCACCCGCCTCAGCCTTCCAAAGTGCTGGGATTATAGGCGTGAGCCACTGCGCCCAGCCTACATACACTGTTTTTTGTGTGTGACCAGAGCACCTAAAATCTAGTTATTTAACAAAACACCTAATACAATTTTATTAACTATAGCCTTCATGTTGTATGTTAGATCCCTCGACTTTTTCATCCTGCATATCCACTACCTTGTATCCTTTGAGGAATATCTCCCAATTTCCTCTTTCTCCTCCCCCACCACCCCACCCCTCTGTTCTGGTAACCATTGTTTTGTTTTTTATGTCTGTATGTTTGGCCTTTTTTAAAAAAAAATAATATTTCACATATACAGTGAGATGCAATATTTTTCTTTCTGTGTCTGGCTTATTTCATTTAGCATAATGTCATTTACATCCATCCATGCTGTGGCAAATGAAGGGTCTCCTTTTTTAAGACTGAATGATATTCTGTGTGTGTGTGTGTGTGTGTGTGTGTGTGTACACAGACATACACAATAGAATATTCAGCCTTAAAAAATGATATTCTAGTGTGTGACACACACACACACACACACAATATGAATCCTCATTTAAAATGTGTCATTTGCCACAACATGGATGGATGTGGATTATGTTATGCTAAATGAAATAAGCCAGACACAGAAAGAAAAATACTGTATATCACTTTATCATTTTATATGTGGAATGTTATTTACACACACACACACACACACACACACACACACACACCCCAATCTCACATTTTTTAGTCCGTTTATCTACCAGTGGATGCATTTATCTGTAGTGGACATTCCCATAATGCAGTGAACACGGGAGTGCAGATCTTTGAGGTGGTGATTTCATCTCCTTCGGGTGTGTGCCCAGAAGAGGGATTGCTGGTCATATGGTAGTTCTATTTTTAATTTCCTTAAGAACCTTCATAATGGCTCCACCAATCTACATTCCCATTAACAGTGTACAGGGTTCCCTGTTCTCCACATCCTTGCTAACATTTATCTCCTATTTCTTTTTGGTGGGAGAGTGGGGCGGAGGAGACAGCATCTTGCTTTGTCATCCAGGCTAGAGTGCAGTGGTACAATCATAGCTCAATGGAAAGACAGAAAAATCACCAAAACTATAGAGTAGTTGAAATAGTAATGATGTTCAGCTTCTACTTTTTGGAGAATAAACTGTTGCCTTTTATTTGAATCCTTATTTAAAAACAAAATGTCAGAGAAGTGGTAATTTGAGCAAATTTACATAGGCAAAGAGGAAAACACAAGGGAAAGAAAGAAAAATGACCAACAAGAATATATTTTTATGTCAGTGAATTTGCTTTTGGTTCAAATATCAATAAAATATTAGCTTATATAATTGAAGGTTTTTATTGGCATGTGTAACTAGAAATTCCAGGCTTCAGGGCTGACTGGTTTAGCAGTTTAAAGGATAGAATTATGAGCCTAATTTCTTTCTATTTATTCCATCTGCCATCTGTAGGATTGGTTACATTCTTAGATTGGCTCCACTCATGTTAAATGATGGATCCCAGCAGCTACTGTGGCCACATACTTTTCCTCATCTATCTGATGACAGGCAGGTGGTTCCTACTCAGAATCACTAAATAAGATTTCCTAACTTTGTGCTGATACTGGCCACTTTCCTGTGACCAGGGGGTTTTCTAATCCCAGTCTGAGTTTGCCATTAGGAGGAATCCTTACCAGTTTCTGAGAATTCTCAGTGTACCAAACAGGCACATACTTTTCATCTCCTTCCTTAGAAGTAAGAGTTATTTCACTCATATTTTCTGGCTGCTACACAATGAGTGAGCACTGTAGTGAATATTGTGGGATGTCACCAGCAAATATAATGTTAACTATACTGGTAAAATTATTAAGTGAAAGAATGGCTAAAATACGTAAGAGTAGCTTAGCAATGTTTTCAGCATACAAAATTTATCTAAAGGGCAAGCCAGCTTCTGAGGCAGAGAGGCTCCTTTAGCTCAACATACTTTTACACCAAGGACAAGACTTGGCCAAACAGAGATCCTTAATAGACAACTGGGAGCTATTTTGTGAAGATATATGTAAATGTAGATTATATAGAGCAGGTCTATGATTCATACAGCATGGGTGGAGTAAATTTTATAATTTGTCTCCTTTGGTTTTGTGAGGGTTTTCAAGGTTCTTAAATCCTAGGTTTTGATTGTCTTGACTGCTTGACATCACAGACTATCACCACCAAAGCACAGTCATAAAGTGTGAGATATTTAAATGCTGTAACTGAGAATAACTCTTAGAGTTTGGATTTACCCTAGTTCTTGCCCTATTTTTATGCGGCAGTTTTTAAAAAAAGTCTTATCTTCCTCTCATTTTGCATTGTGATTATATCAAACATAATCTTATGCCTCTTCGAGTCCCTTGGCACCATCTGCCTCATTGAATTTTCTACTGCCACTGGAAACCAACCAGTTGCTTAATCTGAGCAATGAGGGCCCTATACCTTGGTGGCCACCATCTAGCTAAGTTTGTGAAACATACTCTGGGAGGGTCTGGCTCCTCCTGCTATTTCCAATCTTGGATATAACACCACGCCACATCCTTGTAGGTAGCACCCTGAGCATCTGTGAAGGCCAGTTGACACAAAATGGAAGTGCATTGTACTTTGAGATAGACTTTGACCAATGGGAAATAGGAGACAGGAGGAAACCTGCCAGATAAATTTTATTTTCCACATGGACTACTCAGAGGTGTGGTTTGTTTTTGTAGTCCATCAGAAGACATTCCACAGAGAGTACACCAAGTGGATGGATTTGTTAAGTGACCTACTATATTTTTTCATAGCTTGTTGTAAAATGGTAGCCAGCACATTGCCTTTTATGTATTTTCTTGCCTCAGTTTACCTTCTCTTCACCCTTGATGCCCTGTGTATGCACCTCTCAAGTGAAACATCAGCATTTTAATCAGGCTCTGTTTGCTAGAGAACTGGGCCAAGACAAAGATTAATAAGGCATGTAATCCTTAGCTTGTCTTTTTGGACTACCTCCTAAACTTTAGAAATAATTTCTGTAATCACTGTACTTTTTGTGCCTTAAAAAAGTTTGTGGAGGCCGGGCGCGGTGGCTCAAGCCTGTAATCCCAGCACTTTGGGAGGCCGAGGCGGGTGGATCAAGAGGTCAAGAGATCAAGACCATCCTGGTCAACATGGTGAAACCCCGTCTCTACTAAAACTACAAAAAATTAGCTGGGCATGGTGGTGCGTGGCTGTAGTCCCAGCTACTCAGGAGGCTGAGGCAGGAGAATTGCCTGAACCCAGGAGGCGGAGGTTGCGGTGAGCCGAGATCGCGCCATTGCACTCCAGCCTGGGTAACAAGAGCGAAACTCCGTCTCAAAAAAAAAAAAAAAAGTTTGTGGAAAAAATCACCCCTATGCCACAATTATTCTTTTCTATTGCATCTAATTATCTGAGTTTTATTTTAGAAATTTATCTTTGGTCAAACTGCACATTTTTAATGGCTAGAGTTTAAAATATACTATTTGCTACGTTTTCTTTTTAATGATAATTTGTGAACATTTTATTATGATACTTTAAAAATTCTTATGTAAAAGTTGAAAGAATTTTACATTGAACTCCTATAATCTGCCATCTCAAGTCTACAATTAAAATTTTACTATATGTGCTTTATTATATATTTATCCATCAGTCTATATTAATTTTAAAAGAGTTATAAATTTGCAGATATCAGTACATTTTCCTCAAAATAATTCTGCAATTCATTAAGATCAATGTACTTAAGACTAAGGGTGGTGGCTCATGCCTGTGATCCCAGAGCTTTGGGAGGTTGACGTGGAAGGATCACTGGGGCTGGGGGTTCAAGACCAGCCTGGGCAACATAGTGAGGCCCTGTCTCTTAAAAAGAAAAAAAATTAATGTACCTAAATACATTCTTTTCATAAAAATATCTAAAATACTGCAACAGATACAACTCAACTGTTATTGTGGGTATTATCCTTCAAATAAATGGTGTTATTCAGTATGTATCTACCTACAACTTTATCTTTGACGCTCGTGAATAAAAAAAAATCAAGACACATTAAAGTGGTAAAAACACATTTTATTCAATAACTACTGGCAATAGGGGAAAGAGCTGAGCTCCATGATTTATACAGTTGTGACTGGGCTTTTTAAAGGGAGAATGAGGGAGTACGGAAGGGGAGCAACTGAGGGCTCAAGTAGAGTCAGGGAGGTGAAAATTACAAAGGGCTAGTGCTGTGGTTTGAATGTTTGTGTTTCCCCCACATTTATGTGTTGAAATCCTAACCCCCAAGATGGTGATATTGGGAGGTAGGACCTTTTGGGAGGTAATTAGGTCGTGAGAGTGGAGTCCTCATGAATGGGATTGGTGCCCTTTAAAATAGGCCCAAGGGATCTCATTTGCTCTTTCTACCATATGATGATACACTGAGATGGCACCATCTAAAAACCAGAACATGGGCTCTTACCAGACACCAAATCTGCTGGTGTTTTGACTGGGACTTTCTAGCTTCCAGAACCTTGAGAAATAAACTTGTGTTGTTTATAAGCCACCCAGTTTATGATACTTTGTTATAGCAGCTCCAGTCGAAGATCCTTGGTCACTGTAAATGTGAGTGGGTCAGCTGTGCCTGCTAATTGACAGTTACCAAAATTAAGATTCTGTATTCCCGCAGAGACTGGGTCACAGAAGTCCTAACCTTCCTGATAATTACATTTCAAAGGAATGGCTTTCTGGTTCTTGAGAAAGGCACTGCTGAGTTGTAGGAGATATATACACATCTCAAAGGGACAGAGGAGGAATTCACAATTGTAAACCCTTCTTAGTTAGTACTCTAAGAAAGGAAAGTCAGGGGCTTATAGTTAGCTGTTGGCTAGAATAGAGTGTACATTTTTTTTTTTTTGATATCCCTGAACTTCTCCAGACTGAAGCTCAAAAGGAGGCTGTGTATTCCAGGGCTGAGTGGAGGTGGGGTAGGCTTCTAGAAGCCGTGCTAGAGTTGGTCAAGGCTCTTAGTGCAAGAATTTGGATGGAGTTGTTTGCCAAGAATTCTTTTTTTTTTTTTTAAGACGGAGTTTCGCTCTTGTTACCCAGGCTGGAGTGCAATGGCGCGATCTCGGCTCACCGCAACCTCCGCCTCCTGGGTTCAGGCAATTCTCCTGCCTCAGCCTCCTGAGTAGCTGGGATTACAGGCACGCACCACCATGCCCAGCTAATTTTTTGTATTTTTAGTAGAGACGGGGTTTCACCATGTTGACCAGGATGGTCTCGATCTCTTGACCTCGTGATCCACCCGCCTCGGCCTCCCAAAGTGCTGGGATTACAGGCTTGAGCCACCGCGCCCGGCCTTGTTTTCATTTTAGAATATGTAGATCCACCTTATTCTTTTTAATAGCTGCAAAATATACAATGGTATCATAGTTTATTTAGGTTGTTTTTAGTTTTTTTTTTTTACTGTTAAAAACACTGCAGTGAACATCCTTGTGCATGTGGTCTTGTGAACATTTGCATGTATTTCTCAGGAGTTGTCAGATCATAATGTGTTTGCATTACACTTTAATATGGTCTACCAAGTTGCTTTCCAAAATGACTGCCATCATTAGTGTATGAGAGAATTTATTTTCCCATCTTCTTCAACACATTACTAAGCTTTTTAACTTTTGCCAATTGAATGAGGAAAACCTACTGTTATCTTTTAATTTGTATCTCCCTGTTTACTTGTGGAGTTCTTAATATGTTGGACATTTATGTTTTATTCATTGAATTATCTGTATTCTACATCCATTTTTCTATTGTATTTCATAAGCATAAAATTTATTTATATTAGTTTTTTTGAGACAGAGTCTCACTCTGTCGCCAGGTGCCAGGTTGGAGTGCAGTGGCACAATCTTGGCTCACTGCAACCTCCATCTCCCAGGTTCAAGCAATTCTCCTGCCTCAGCCTCCTGAGTAGCTGGAACTACAGGTACATGCCACCACACCCAGCTAATTTTTGTATTTTTAGTAGAGACGGGGTTTCACCATGTTGGCCAGGATGGTCTCAATCTCTTGACCTGGTGATCCATCCGCCTCGGCCTCCCAAAGTGCTGGGATTACAGGCTTGAGCCACCGCGCCTGGCCTGGCATAAAATTTATTTAACATAAATTTTATATGATACAGGAGCCTTCATAAGTAAATGAAAACCCCCAAAATGGGTAAACTTATATATATTTTTTATTTTTGCAGTTTATTTTTATTATTTATTGATACATAATAGTTGTACACATTTTGAGAGTGTATATGATACTTTGATATATGCATACAATGTGTAATGATCAAATCAGTGTATTAACCAAAAAGGTGACTCAATCAGTAAAGGTTTATTAAGCCAGTGTTTAAGGATGCACCTGGGAAAAACACAAGTCACAAGAGCATCTGTTACCTGTGCTTTCCAAAAGGGGGTTTCTAAAACCCAGTACTGAAGAGTAAAGAGCAAGCAGAAGGGACAAAGGAAGGTAAGGGAGGCAGTGGGACAAAAGGCTACAATATTTGTGAGGCTCAGTAAATCTATGTTTTACATAAGGTAAGGTAAACATTTGAAAGACAGAGTAAAGAGTCAGTTATGTATCCATCTTGGGGTAGGGGAAGGAGTACTTTTTTTAATTTAAAAATTTCGTTTTATTCCCTTGGATTATTACTATTATTATTTTTCTTCAACATTTATTTCAAGTTCAGGGGTACATGTGCGGGATATGCAGGTTTGTTACATAGGTAAAAGTGTGCTATGGTGGTTTGCTGCACAGATCATCCCATCACCTAGGTATTAAGCCAACATCCATTTGCTATTCTCCCTGATGCTCTCCTCAGCACCCCTAGAGGTCCCAGTGTGTGTTCCCCGCAGTGTGTCCATGTGTTCTTATCATTCAGCTCCCACTTGTGAGAACATGCAGTATTCAGTCTTCTGTTCCTGCATTAGTTTGCTGAGGGTAATGGCTGCCAACTCTATCCATGTCCTTGCAAAAGACATGATTGAAGGAGTGATTTTTTTGTCTTGTCCCTGTTCTGTACCTAGGAAGGTAAGGTTGTAATTGACATTGTCAGTGTGAGATTTAACAGAACTCAGTTTTAAGAATTAAACTTAGGTTGCACACCGAAGGTTACAACTGGCATGTGCTGGTTTTATAGGGGGATATGTATCCTGAAAGGTTTTAGTGACTAGGAAGGCATTTTCCTGTGAGAAATTTGTGAGGGAGGTATATGTCCTTTTGCCATTGTGGGACCCTGACTTAACATGTAATGCTATGACACAGGGTTGTGAAATTATAGCTATGGAGGAAACGAGGAGGAAGGAAAAGCAGTGTTGCATGACTCATTTTCTAGGTTTAATGTTCCCTTTGGTATAATGAGTTTGGGGTCCCAAGATTTTATTGTCTTTGACTAGAGTATTAGGACAGCCATCACCTCAAACATTTTCTTATGTTGGGAACATCCCAATTCTTCTGTTTTAAACTATACAATAAATTATTGTTAACTATAGTCACCCTACTATGTTATTGAACACTAGATCTTATTCTTTCTATTTAATTGTAGTTTTGTACCCATTAACCAACCTCTCTTAATCCCCACCTCTCCTTCTCAGCCTCTGGTAACCACTAATCAAGTCTCTACTTCCACGAGATTCACCTGTTTAGCTCCCACATATGAGTGAGAACATACGGCATTTGTCTTTCTGTGCTTGCCTTATTTCACTTAACATAATGACCTCCAGTTCCATCCATGTTTTTGCAAATGACAGGATTTCATTTTTTATAACCAAATATTAATAATATTCCATTGTGTATATGCAGTTCATTATCTGTTCATCTGTTGATAGAACTTAGGTTGATTTTTTTGTTTTTGCCTTTGTTTATTGACTGTTTTGTAAGCATTTTGTTTCACAAAAATCTCCAACTGAAGTTAATAATATGATATTGTGAAATATGTATTTGGTCTTCAACCCTATTTCCTTGGCATACAACTCCTAAAATCCTTAGAACCTCCACAGTAATGCCTGTTTGTGTGCCAGTGATTGACTGATGGCTGATGGCCCCTATGTAGTTTCAGGATGCGGGTTGTTTAGCTGAAAGACCAAGGCACCATTAGAGGGGTGGAACTTTCAGCCTCACCCCTATCTCTGGGGAGAGAAGAGAAGCTGAGGGTTAAATTGATCACCAGTGGCCAATGATATAATCAATCATAACTATGTAATGAGGCTTTCATAAAAAACCCAAAAGCCCTGTGTTTGGAGAGCTTCTAGATGACTGAACAAGTGGAGGTTTCTGGAAGGTTGTGCCCGTGGTGGGCACGGAAACTGTGTTTCTTCCACCATAACTCACCCTATGCATCTCTTACATCCAGCTGCTCATTTGTATCCTTTGTAATATCCTTTATAATAAACTGCTAAACATGTTTCTGGAGTCCTGTGGCCACTCTAGCAAACTCATAGAACCCAGAGGCAATTGCCAGAACCCCAATTTGAAGCTTTTCCATCAGTCGTTCTGGAGGCCCAGACTTGTGACAGTTGGGGCCATGGGGTTTGTGGTACTGAGCCCTCAACCTGTGAGATCTAACACTATATCCTGGTAGATAGTGTTGGAGTTGAGTTGGAGGACACCCAGCTACTGTCCATTGAAGAACTTATTTCTTCCTTGGTGTGTAGGGAGAAACTGCCACACATTTGGTTGCACAAGTCTTCCGTGGTGATTGTTGTGGTGTGAGAGCAGAGGAAAAACAGTTTGAGTTTTTTACTCTCAGACAGCTCCATAAAACTCTGTGACTACACCAGTGAGCATTGGCAAAGAACAAAAAAGTCATTCAATTTCTTTTACCAGTTCCGTAAACTGGAAGTGATTCATAGCATTTGCACACATATTTGTAATGTTTTTGACAGCTATATCCATGACACTTCTCGTAGTCTGCTTTAGAAAGTCCTGCACAGTGTTTTCCACTCAATTCTGCATCAGTAGTATACCTTCCTTTTAAATTAAAAACTTGTCCATTCTGCGTTAATGTAGAAAGATAATTTTATTATAATATAATCAAAACAGTAATAAATATTTCAGATTAATCATCAATTACAATTTACATAGGTTATCACTAATTTGTGCTCTCTGCATTGAGGACTAAGCTCTGATTTTTTTTTTTTTTAATCTTGCTCAAATTCCTATCTAAGGAGTCTGGGGAGTCATGCCCTTATAAACCATAAATTCGCATCAGATGGGTTTTATTTAACTCTGTATATCATGACTTACTTTTCAGTCTGACTCTGGGATAACATGGAAGAAAATAAAAATATTTTACCTGAAAACATGTTTCTCTACCATATCTTGAAATGTCCCTGCAAAGCCTTCCCTTATGGGAAAAAATCCACATTCTATAGAAAATCTACTTTCCCCTCGTTTTCCTTCCTTCCTTTCCAGATCCAGGCACCTTTTTAGGTCCGATAAGAAACATTTTACAACCTGTTCTCTCTGAGGTCTGCTATCTGAGAGCTTCCTCTGCACAATAAAACTTGGTCTCCACAATCCTTTATCTTAACCTGAACATACATTTCCTTTCCATTGATCCCGTCTTCAGAAAAACTCAACTAATTGTAAACCAGAAAACGTTTATAGCCTGGAACCCCCCTGCCTCCTTCACCACTTCGAGTTGTCCTGCTTTTCTGAACCAAACCAATGTATTTCTTAAATGTATTTGGTTGATGTCTCATGCCTCCCTAAAATATATAAATCTATAATATATATAAAATATATAAATATATATATAATATATATAAAACTAAGCTATACCCCGACCACCTTGGCACATGTTCTCAAGGCTTCCTAAGGGCTGTGTCATGGCCACGGTCATGGTTATTTGGCTGAGAATTAATCTCTGAAAATATTTTATACAGAGTTTGACTTTTCTCATCAACAGCATGATATATTCAAATATATTATAATCTGCTTCTTTGATTTAATGCTGCTTGGAGTAGACCATGTTATGGATGTGTTGTATGATTTTAACTGCAACTGCTGTGCTTTTAGATTCCTTCCACTCTACGCAACTGTGTAGAATACTTCATTGCTCCCGTGTGCATTTTGAGTATTTTTCTAGGGTAGATTCTGAGACATAAAATTACTACAGTTTTAGGAGATTTCTTAGTCATGTAAAATATTAGTAGATACTCCCAGATCACTATCCAAAACGTCATTTTACACTCCCTTCAACAGTACAGAAGAGTACTCCTTCCCTTATATCCTTATCCACTCTTGGCATTTTTTTTCTTTTCTTTCTTTTTTTTCTTTTTAGGTTCTGTGATCCAGGCTGGAGTGCAGTTGTATGATCATGGCTCACTGCAGCCTCAACCTCTTGGGCTCAAGTGATCTTTCCACCTCAGGTTCCTGAGTAGCTGGGACTACAGGCACATGCTACCATACCTGGCTAATTTTTGTATTTTTAGTAGACACAGGGTTTCTCCATGTTGCCCAGGCTGGTTTTGAACTCCTGTGCTCAAGCGATCCTTGGTCTCTCAAAACTGTGGGATTATAGGCCCATGTGCCACTGAGCCTGGCTAAGCTTACTCTTGGCATTTTAAGTCTTAAAAAATTTTGCCAATCTATGAATGAAAATCATTTTTAGTATACATTTCCTTGATAACTGAGATTGAACATTTTTTCATATTTTAGTAGCGTTTCATTCTTAACATAATACATACCCTGTGTTCTTTCTTTGATTCTCTTTTAATGTTATGAAAGCTCAGAAAATGCTAGAAATGCTAGAATGATTTTGCATACCTGTGGTCCAGTTGTTGTTGATTTTCTTTTTGCGTCTCTATGGACAAGAATCATTTGCATTGCTGATTTCTACAATTTACAGAGCTGCAAAACTGCTCAAAGACAATGAAAGGAAAGAACTATTATAGAATCAAATTACTCAGTGGGGTATACCAGACAACACCTAGCATTCCATAGGACATCCCGCAGTCTTTCACTGGTTTTCTGAAAGATAATACATTTAAAGCTTCTAACACATTGTCTGGCTCGAGGTGAGAGCTCAATAAATTTAATTTGCTTCTCCATTGTTAAAAGAATGAAAAACAAGATAATTGAGAATTTATAGCATTTCTATGGAACTACAGTTCCCTGGATAGTTGCTGTATCTAGATTGACTTTTGATTTCACTGGGTCTTGTGCAGTGCCTGGGAACATTTTTATATGTGGTCAGTAATTAAAAAATTTATTTTCCCACCTCTTAATACTATCACAGTTGTTCAGTAACAGTTTGATTGGATAGAACTATGTTCAAATATGTTCTGATTTATTCCCCTATCTGGAAAAAACATGTATATTGTGAGAAAATAGGCTTGTCTTACTTACATCATTATGTATCATGTATTTTCATACTGGGGTTAACAAATATATTCTAAGCATTGAAACTGGTGGCCTTGAAAATGGCTTGACTAGCTGTTTCTTTTCATAGTCCAAACTGGGTGAATATAGCTAAATAAAAAATCTGGCTCTATTATAATAGCAAATTCGATTTCGTGTGTGGAGTCTTAAGGCATGATTATACTGTTTCTCACCATGAATAGTGATTTTTTACACATGATAAGGCAGGCTAGCATATTCACATACATTACGGCTAGAATAAACCATTGCTTTAAAAATATGATTTTTAACCTGCTTTTTAGATTGAGTGTTCTATAAAAATTTCTTCTTAACTGAAAAAAAAAATATGCAGAGGCTAATGTAGACTGTAAAATGAAGGAGAAGCTTAGCTTTACTGTGGAGTCTGGGTCTGGGTGTAACCTAACTAGCTAGAGGATATGCAATTCCTGATTGACAGCAGGTCCAGCATTATGCAGATTTTGTAAGGGAGAACACTCAGCTCAGAAACAGTGATGAGAGGCTCTGTTAGGAATTACTACATTCACTACTCATATCTTTCAGTTTTCTGTCTACTGGATTTGTAAATAAATAGCGCAAAACCGTTCCTCTTTTGTTTTTATTAAAGTGATACTGCAATGCAGTTCAGTCTGTCAGCTAGGCATATATGTGTGAAATTTGATATTCTCACTAAATTAGCTAATTTTTAGCTGTGTTCCATGCTTATCTCTAGACCTTTGTGTATTAAATCCTGTCTCGAGCTGTTCCCTTTATACACAAGTGTGTTTTGCTTGTGCCTTCCTGTCTTCCTCAGTGAGAAGCTTTATGTAGGTCAGGCTTGGCTTAAGCAGATTTCCTGAACCTGCGTCAGCTTAAGCTGGAGGAATTTTAATAAACCCTCCCCTGTAGGCGTGGGCCTAAATGAGGCTAGCCTAGTTAAGCCTGATCTTTTTCTGTTTGTGAAAAGAGCTGAGCAGAGCTGAAGGCTGCATGGTGGTTTCAGAAACTGCCTACTTAATTTGAAAAGAACAATGGTAGGAAAGGCTAGATCTTCCAATTTTACCTTATCTGAAAAGCTTGATTTGCTAAAGCTTGTGAAGCCATATGTGAAAATTCTCGAAGAACACACTAATAAACATTCAGTAATAGTGGAAAAGAATAGATGTTGGGATATCATAGCAGTTAACTATAATGCAATTGGAGTAGACCGCCCTCCTCGAACAGCACAAGGCCTACGCACCCTTTACAAAAGGCTCAAAGAATATGCCAAACAGGAGCTATTGCAGCAAAAAGAGACCCAATCAGATTTTAAAAGCAATATTTCTGAGCCAACCAAGAAAGTTATGGAGATGATTCCCCAGATTTCCAGTTTTTGCCTGGTAAGAGACAGGAACCACATACAAAGGTAAGCTTTATTTTATTTTGTTATGGAAAATTATGGCGCCTCCTATCCATTGGGCTTTGGCTTAGTTGTGACAGAGATATGCATAGTAAGCATCCCCACAACGGGAGCAATGAATAGTGTCTTTGTTTTGCATTTTTTAAAAAGAGAAAAGTGAGGCTATAAGGAATTTTTCTTTTGCATTTAAGCTACTTTTTAACTGTCTTCCCCTCCCCCTTGCCCCCTGTAGTTTCTAAAAGTAAAGGTTAGGGAGGAATAAGTGGGATGAAATTTGTGACATCACTTCATAAACTTTTTAAGCTTTAAAATTAAATTATTTAGTTTGCTTCTGAGAGATACTTTTTTTTAAAATTTAAGATTACATTTCACTGGAATTTTTAATTTTATATGAAATTTATATAAAGTTAGCAGTTTCTAGAGAAATGGAACCTTTGCTTTTCTATGAATTGTCATTGTCTACACTTATTGAATATGCATTAACTAACAAATAGAGCTAAAATCAATAAGTAAACTTGTTAGTGTCATGATTGTGTATATAAAGACAGTTTAAATTATTTTTCTAACGCATTTAAAATAAAGATGAACACAACTAAAAGGAGTTAATGCCTAATTAGGGATTCAGTTTACTTAATAAAATTTAAAGTTTTTGTTCTTTTTATTCCTTAATGGTCTAGTTTCACTTTGATCTTGGGTCATATAGGAAAGAGTAAGCTTTCTCTTACTGTTTTGCAAGGATATCAAATTATGAATTTTAAAATACCCCTAAGAGCAGCTGGGTTTTTTTAGAGTTAGAAGCAATTTTTTGGTTAAACTTGTGTTCTATGTGACTCTTTGCCTTGGAATTTTCAAAATTGTTATCTTGCCACTAATTCGGATTGTAACCTCTGGCAAAATATGAAAATGGCAGCTACATTCTTATTCTGAACCATTTAGGGTAATTTAAACAAATTGTAAACTCCTTGTTAGTTTGAGGGGGTTTTCAAACAAAGCTTTACACAATGTGCTTTTCTATTGGTGGGAGAGGCATTATATAAGCAAATTATTGATTATTGTGAAATCCCTTTGAAATTAGGAGAGAAACAGAAAAAAACACTTTGTAGCCAAGTGTATATATTATTTTGGTAATTTACTAGGAAAGTATTTTTGAGCCTAGCTTTTTACCAGATACTGCTTATTTCTACTATCTGATAGCACAGTAAAAAAAATATCACCAGTGGGAATCCAGGACATGAATACACAGTGGATTAATTCTTGGGGCCACTGGTTAAAATGTTCACTGTGATGACAAATGATGAAATCCCAATAGCTGGATATCCAGAAAACTACACAGTAAAATTGTTTTATGCTGTGCTGCTTATGCAAATTTTCTCCCCCTTGAACCATAGAGAAAAGTGTTTTTTGCATTGCAGGTATAAAACTGTACCTTTTGGCTAGTAGGTATAAATTTTTATAATTTGAAAACTACATGTAGAAACTAATTTTAGTTAGTTGCATATTTTAAAAATACAGTGAGTATAGAAGAGAATTACATACAGTGAGTATATAAATATACAAGTATCTGGTTACATTTTGACCATTTGTGTGTGTATGTATACAATATTCACACATACACAAAATCTTTCGGAACATCAATGTTTCTGTGATAAAAATGAGTTGATTTGTGCATTCCTATACCTATGGCTTAAATAATACCAATTTGTTAGATTTTAAAGGGAAGAATATAAGAAATATGCCTCTTAACTTCTTATGTTAGTGTGTCTACATTGACATTTTCTCCGTATTAGCTTATTTCTTTAATGTGCTTATATTTATTTGACATCATCCTTGAATCTTAATCTCAGAAGTTTATGATTATTCTATAATCTTGACTATACTATATAAATATGCCTGCTAATCTTACCAAACTCTCCCTTTTTAATAAGGAAAATACTAGTGTTTGCAGTAACATACTTAAAAATATATACCTGTTTTGTAAGGCTATTTATTTCTGTAACTCACATTGTCTTATGTCTTTATTTTTACCTTTCCCTAATATCAGTTTATATTTTGTGTTTTTGTAAACTGATCTTCAAAGTTCTGATTCTCAAGTTCTTCTCTGTCATTTTTGTGACCTGCTCTAAAGCCTTTTTTCCTTCTTTTTTACATTATGCCTTAGTTGTAATGTGTTAGCTGAAATGGAATGTTCCAGATATAAGGCATGTTTTTAATTTACTTGGGAGTATAATGTCTATGTTTATAGTCTATTGTACATACTAATTTGAAATAGTAATTGAGTGGTTTTAAAAACTTAATTTTCATATGCAGTTTAAACCTTTTCCCATTCTAGGTTTTAGCAGAGCTATTAATAGAGGCAGATTTTGTTACTTTGAATTACATTTATAATTAATTGTTTTATTTTTGGAGATCATAAAATAACACAAATAGGGACAAGAACAAAAGTGAATTTATGTAATCTACCAATAGATTTTTCGTTATATACTATATATATGTTTCATTTTGTCTCTTAGATAAATATCTGATATTTCTGGCAATTTAATGCCATTAGTAAGTGACATATGGGTAGTTTTAATCTTTCTCCATGCATTCTACTTGAACTTGTTCCAGCATTTTAATTATCCATATATAAAATATTCTTTTAATTATGTTTCTTATTATTTGTAAAATCTCCATATAATATTAAATAAAATATTTCCATTAATGTTCAATAATCTCATTTCCCTCTGTAACTTTTATGTTTAGTTAGGCAGAAGCATAATTTAAAAAAAAAAACCCTCAAGGAGCAGATCTTCTTAATTCACAGCTCTATGTTGTATATAAAACTATGTTTAAAAAACAGAATTTTAAGGTTTATTGCATTTATAATATAACTTGGTATGTTGAAGTTTATGCTAAAGCGGTAGTTGTCTCCATTAAAATGTATATTTGGTGGAAATCATCTGTAAATGTAATAAACCTTTAATATATGTGTATAGGCTATTAAAATATTTTATTAAAAAGTCGTTTGTTTTTTCAGTCATTCAACATATAATGAGCATCTACTAGGTACTCATTATACAGTGGTGGATTAAAACTGTTGCTGTTGTGAACTTTATCTGAACAGTGATTGAAAGACTTAAAGAGCACCTGAGTCATCTGGTTCAGGATAGGTAAAAGGGAAGTGCCATTGCATCTGAAATAAGAAAGTTAGGATATACACAGTCTTTATGTTTTATTTTTTGGGCAAATGCAGAAATCAGTATCTCCCGTAGATGGCCTTTCACTGTCCTCCTAGGAGTTATGGGCCTTGGTGGTTTTAAGATCAGTCCAGGAGAGCAGAAATAGGAGGTCTAGGGCTAAGATCTGGGGATAGTAAGACTGAGAATGCATTAAATGGCTCTTTATGCCATTTGAGAACCTCAGGGTTGTGGGGAAAATAGGTGTCTATTTGACAACATTAAAACTGGCTTTTCTTTTTTATTTTCTTCATTGGCCTTGTGTAATATTGGTAATTTCTTGCCTCTTTAAGAGCACAGTTTTAAAGTAAAGGATGGGGGAGACCTATAGGTATATATTATTGAAATCCCAATCTTAGGCACTTCAGGGTATTTCAAGTGTTAAGATTTTTTTTGGTTTCATAACTTTCTTTATAGTTTTAAAACTTTATAATTTAATGTATATTAAACATAAAATTATGCTATAAATATACTTTTTCTTCATTTGATTTACATATTATAATGCTTTTTTGTGTGCTATAGTGCAAACTTGGATGAGGAGGCACAGGCTGGTACCAGTTCACTACAGGTAATGTTGGATCACCATCCTGTTGCCATTACAGTGGAGGTGAAGCAAGAAGAAGACATTAAACCACCTCCTCCACTGGTTTTAAATTCTCAACAAAGTGATACTTTAGAGCAAAGAGAAGAACATGAATTAGTACATGTTATGGAAAGATCCTTGTCGCCTTCACTTTCCTCTGTTGATATGAGAATGACATCGTCTCCATCTTCTATTCCAAGGAGAGATGATTTTTTTCGGCATGAGAGTGGCGAACACTTTAGGTCACTATTAGGGTATGATCCTCAGATCCTGCAAATGTTGAAAGAGGAGCATCAGATAATTTTAGAAAATCAAAAAAATTTTGGATTGTATGTTCAGGAGAAGAGGGATGGATTGAAAAGAAGGCAGCAGCTAGAGGAAGAACTACTAAGAGCAAAAATTGAAGTGGAGAAGCTGAAAGCAATTCGCTTACGGCATGATCTACCTGAATATAACAGTCTCTAAGATTTTTTTTTTTTTTTTTTTGGTCAATCTTGCAATTGGATAATTTTGATTTTGGCCAAATTACTTTAATTTGGGAGTATCCTGAAACAGAATACATGTTCTTAAAAAATGTTGTTAATCTCTATTATGGAAAATCTTTTTTGATATAATTTTCTAGTTATTTTATTTTGAGATATTAAAATTTACTGATTGATTGGCATGGTTATAGTTTTTATTGTCTTCTTTTTTTTTTCCTGAGTTTGTTGACCTTACAAAAGATATTTTATTCTGATCACTAAGATATACACAAATACGACAAACACATATTCTTTCAAAGTTCTGAGTCTTTAACATTTTTAGTTAGAACTTTGAAAACTGTAGCTAAAGATTTTTAAGTCAGTCTAATTTAGAAGCTATACTAACCTAATACCAAGAAGCTTGTCTGTATGATACTGGTTTTTATGCTTTTATCTTTTGAAGGAGTAAATCCTAGGATTTTAGAGATGGAAGATATTTGGAGAACATTTTTTCTGCCTCTGCACTTTAGAGGTAATGAAACAGAAGTTCAGGGAGAACTCAGTGATTTACTTTGTGTAACAAAGCTATTTATGGCAGAGCAGGGACCAGCACTTAGTTTTTCTTTGTGTAATTTTCCTCCCACTATTTGATAGAAGTAAATATCCACAAAAATATTCTCTAGATTTAAATACTAGAAGCATTTGTTTCATTAAAATTGTTTTTTAAGATTGTTAGGTTGTGAAATCAGGAAAATTGTATCAATTACCCCATTCTCTCTCTATTTTTGGTCCAGCAAAATAGACAAGGTATTCCATTGATGCTATTATATAATTTGGCTGTGTGATTAAAGACATATCTTAATTCATTTTAAATGTCCTGTTCTGGAAAAAATTTCTTTCACAGCAAAAATCAGAATGAACAAAATTAAAATTTTATGTTTTTTTAAGTATTGTCTTTTTAGTATTTGTGGAAATAAAACCTCAATTCTTAAAGCACATATATTAAATTTATATTAAGTATCTAATAAGTATTTACTTAAGAATTTCTATTTTTGCTGGGGTTCTGTTGAGAAAGGATTTTTAAGCCAAGTTTTAGAATGGGGTAGGTGGAATTTTAGCAGTGAAGGGGAGCATGGGTGTTTGAAGTCAGAGTGAGAAGCTGGAAAAAAGACAAGGAAATGGGAAAAAGTGGATTGGGTATATGAGCACAAATGCAGCGCTAAGCCAGTGATTTTAAGTGAGTGTAGAGAGAGTTTGGACTGTGGTATCCTGGACTAGGAAGGACATCTCCCTGGACTAGGTAGGACAGCTGCTGTTTAACTTCAGCAGAATTTTCACATGCGGGAGAAAACCAGAAATCTACATTGGTTTAATGCAGACTTTTCCAATTTTAAAATGTTTGCAAATAACTCTTGCTTTCAAGACATTATACAGACAACATGTGAGTGGGCCTCATTGAACCATTGGGCTTCCACTTTGTGGCCTTTGGAGTAGAGCAATAGTTTTCCAAGTATGGGTCCTGACCAGCAGTATCAGCATCACTTGAGAACTTGTTAGAAATGTAATTCCACGGCTGGGCGCGGTGGCTCAAGCCTGTAATCCCAGCACTTTGGGAGGCCGAGGCGGGTGGATCACAAGGTCAAGAGATCGAGACCATCCTGGTCAACATGGTGAAACCCCGTCTCTACTAAAAATACAAAAAAATTAGCTGGGCATGGTGGCGCGTGTCTGTAGTCCCTGCTACTCAGGAGGCTGAGGCAGGAGAATTGCCTGAACTTAGGAGGCGGAGGTTGCGGTGAGCCGAGATCGCGCCATTGCACTCCAGCCTGGGTAACAAGAGCGAAACTCCGTCTCAAAAAAAAAAAAAAGGAAATGTAATTCCAATTCGAACTGAATTAGAAACCTTGAGGGTGGGGTCAGCAATCTCTTTAATAAACCCTCTAGAGATTCTGATGCATGCTAAAGTTTGGGGACCAGTGAAACAGTATTTTAGAACCTTATTTGGTGCCTAAATCATACTAGTCTCAAAATTTTTGTTGAAGAGCAGTTGAAAGTGAACTGAGGGATATAAATTTGGATGATGGTTGTTACCAGATTATGAATTACATTAAATATTATTTATAATGAGTCAGACTTAACTGATCATACAGTGGGAAGCCACTGAAGGCCTTGTATTAGGGGACTAATTTGATTATAGTTGTGATTTAGGAGGAGTGGCATTTAGGGACAGGTGTTGAGAGGAACTTAAATCAGAAATTTAAGTCATGACTATAGAAATAGAAAAAAATATAAAATGAACTCTTAAGGTACTATTTTAGCATGTTGACTGCTTAATTTCATTGGTTGGATTAAAACGAAGGTGTTTTATACCTGGTAGAGTTAACTTTTTAAATTATAAAGATGTACTGAATATATAATATGGCATATCATTTTGACAATGTTACCTTTTCACTTTAATCTGTGCTATGACATCTCTTTGAGTCTAATGAATTTTGTAATTCTTAATTTAAGGTAATGTTTCACAGTATAATTATAGTAAATACATCTTTGCATTAGTAAGCTTTATTTTTTGAAATTATTGAAAGCAAATATATGAGATTTAATTCACTTTACAGTTTCAGCATGAATTGATAATGGAATGTTCAATTTGAATGTTGGCTTTGTACAGCAAATCAGAGTTTTCCCAAGTGTGTTCTGTGGAACATTAATTCTATGAGATGTTTCTAGAAAAGACATCTTTTTTTGGTGGTTAAGTTCTGAAATAATTGTGAAAGGTAAAAATTATGTGTACACAAAATTGCCTTTGAAAATTCCTTTGCTGACCGTAAAATAGCATAAACACAGTCTGCTACAATCTTATTTTTCTCCAGCATTAAGATTGCTTTTTCTTTAGTGTGTTAGATGACACAATTCATTAGCATTTAGGGGCTATATACAGTAAGAAACCTATTTGTACGTAATTTTAAACACCAGAATCACACTCTGAGTTTACTGCAGCAATTTTTCCAAGTCAATCTTTTTTTCCTCCAAGTCAATCTTGTTTTAATTTTAATTTGCAAAAGTTTAAATGCTTATAATTCTGCTCATTGTCTACCTTCCCTTGTACAACCATGTTTAGCATAGTATAGTTTATGAGAATTCCTGTACAAAGAAAATTATTTATTTGGCCATATAATCCTTTTCAGAGGCTGTTTATTTTCTTACAGAGTATCTTAGGGTAATTTGGAACCAAACCTTTTTTTTTTTTTCCTTCTTTCTCACATTGAGACTTTTTTGAGTTTAGGGAATACTTACCAACTACCAACTAACATTAGCAGTTTTTGTTGAGGACAAGTTTCATTAAGGGAAATATATAGGGGAAATTTTGCTACTACCAATGGAATATACACTTGGCTCTCTATCTGCAGGTTTCACACCTGCGGATTGAAGTACTGTGGATTGAAAATATTCAAGCAAAAAAAAAAATTAACAGTACAACAATAAAAAGTAATATAAAATTTAAAAATACAGCATAACTGAGGTAGGAGTTGGGATAACCCCCAATTTTGGGGCTCACCATCCTGCATCATAACTATTTATGTAGCATTTACATTGTATTAGGCATTGTAAGTAATCTAGAGATGACTTAAAGTATTTGGAAGGATGTGTGTAAATTGTATGTGAATACAAACATTTTATATAAGGGACTTGAGTATCTGTGGATCTTGATGGGGTAGAGGGTGTCCTAGAACCAGTCGCACCCGGATACTGAGGGATGACTATCACTTAAGCCACCAGACATCCTGCATACCACAGACACTTGTTTGGGGGCCATGAGCTTTAATTACAAAATGTAATGCTGGGTGAACACAGAGAACAGTGATTTTTTTTTTTTTAAATGTAGACTTGATTCTGTAGAAATATATTACATTTGATAAATATACTAAATAAATAGATTATTTCATCTAATACATTAGTATTTCAGATAGTGGATAGCTACTTCCCTGTCTTTCTGTTATCCATATGAGTATAAATGGATATGTTGTTACAACTTACGATTTTCTAAACTAGCTATGATTTGTAATGACATCCTGAGAAAAGTCAATGAAACTCATTTCTAACGAATGCCATATTTCTTAAAATAGTCAAATTAAGTATTTTTTTTTTTTTTACGATGAGATATCAAGTTGGTGTTATTTCATTTTTTTTTAAGGAGTCACTCTACCCTGTTCTATATTTACTTACGTGAAAATGTTTATGAGTTTTTTTCATGTGCCTTCTTTTAATGTCAAATTTTAAATACACATGTTTAAGTAACTTAGAGTGTAATAAATTGTGTTTAACATATACTGTAGATAATGATGGTTAAATGCTTTGTTAACACATGTTCTTTTAAATACAAGATAATACTTTGTACTGATTTGTGTACTTCTTTGTGTGCCGTTAAGACAAATAATTCAGTACTGTAGCAATAACATTTTTTGATGAGGCATAATTGAAATACATTTATTTAGACAATTATAACAGATGCCCAATGTACCATATTTAAATATCACATTTCATTTTTTTTTTCAAATGTTAAGAGCCACAGCTTTTCAAAATCAAATATTTGATGGTGAATTTGATTGTAAATACTTTAAAATAATTAGATGAAATATGGTTGCATACTTAAACAAAAGAATAACTTCTTAGAATAAGCAACCTAATTAAACATTAACAGTCATGCAAAATCTTTGTATACAATTTTGAGAAATTGTTCAATATATTTTTATATGTCTTTTATATTGATTAAAGCTAGTAGTTATAATTTGAAGATGTTATTTTTAGTTTCCAATTGCTTTGTAATAGTGGAAAGCAAAGTAAATGAGTACATAAAAATAAAAATACCACCGGGCATGGAGGCTCACGCCTGTAATCCCAGCACTTTGGGAGGCTAGGGTGGGCGGATCACAAGGTCAAGAGATCGAGACCATCCTGGACAACATGGTGAAACCCCGTCTTTACTAAAATACAAAAAATCAGCTGTGCATGGTGATGCGTGCCTGTAGTCTCAGCTACTCGGGAGGCTGAGGCAGGAGAATCACCTGAACCAGGAAGCAGAGGTTGCAGTGAGCCAAGATCTTTCCACTGTACTCCAGCCTGGTGACAGAGTGAGACTCTGTCTCAAAAAAAAAAAAGAAAAATACCACTCCTGTCAGTCCAGACAACTTAAAGGATATATAATTATAATTACACTTTGCTAGCAGGTCTTTTGTGTTTTAAAATTTATGTGTGAATTCACCTTTTTTATAAAGTTTTTTTTCCCCTAACATTTTATTAAGAAACCCTTCAAACATACAGAAAAAGTTAAAAGACAGTTATAGTAAGTACTCATATACTTATCATGCAGATTCTTGAATTAATGTTTTGCTATATTTGTTTTATCACATATTTATCTGTCCAATTCTTTTTTTTTTTTAAGGGAAAAATGTTACTTCAAAACAAGTTGTAGAATTAGAATAATTTACGTCTAAGTACTTCAGCATGAGTATTACTAGAGTTCACTATTTATTTGTGCATGTGTGTTTTTTAGGTAAGATTTGCATACAGTGAAACGCACAAATTTAAAATATACTATTTGGTGAGTTTTGATGTACAACTGTGTAGCTCAAACCTCTATCAAGATTTAAAACATCACTTCATAAGTTCTCTCTTTCCTGCTTCTAATCAGTCTTCTAGCACGTCAGGCAATCACTGTCCTAATTTGAAAAAAATTATAGGTAAGTTTTGCCCATTCTAGAACTTCATATAATTGGAATCATACAAGATGCATACTTTGTTTCTGTTTTTTGTTTTTTTTTTAAACTTATCTTAGTGTTTTTAATCTTCATCCATGTTCAACCATCCTTCTATTAGTACTCATTGCTTTCTGTTGCTGAGCAGTATTCCATTATATAAATATACCACACTATTTATCCATTATCTTTCGATGGACTTTCCAGACTTTGGCTATTATGTATAAAGATTCTATGAATATTCTTGTGCAGCTTTTTCATGGACATAATGCTAGATTAGGGAACCATATTGATTTAACCTTTAAGAAACTGCCAGACATTTTCTAACATGATTATATCATTTTACACTTCTATCAACAGGGTATGAGAATTTTCATTTTTTTCTCTAATATTTGCAAAAGGCCAAGCATAGTGACTCACACCTGTAATCCTAGCACTTTGGGAAGCTTAGGCGGGTGGATCACTTGAGGCCAGAAGTTTGAAACTAGCTTGGCCAACATGGTGAAACCCTGTCTCTACTAAAAATACAGAAATGAGCCGGGTGTGGTGGTCGGCACCTGTAATCCCAGCTACTCAGGAGGCTGAGGCAGGAGAATTGCTTGAACCCAGGAGGTGGAGGTTTTCTTGAGCCCTGATTGCGCCACTGTACTCTAGCCTGGGTGATAGAGCTAGAGCTTGTCTCAAAACAAACAAACAAAAAACTTTACATGTTCAGTGATTGGAATGTCAAAATTGAAATTGATGATTAACTTTCGTAATATTTAAGTGCATTCAAAATGCTGGGCAGGTAATTTATATATCTGGGAATATTGCAGCTTGTTGGTTTTTTTCCACGTTAGTACTAGTTCCATATATGCTCTGACAGGAGGTATTGAATAAATATGAAATGTATAGCCTCTGCTATGCTTATAAAACATAATTCTGAAAATGATGTTTAATGCAAAGAAATGTCTTCTAGGTTTGCTTTATACTTAGTTGACACTCAATCTCTTACTAGATAAGGAAAACTGATTATCAGTTTGAAGGGATTTCTATATTAATGTTTATATGCTTTTTAGTGTAATAAAAACTATTTCAATCAAATTTATATTGAAGTTATATGTTAATACATTTTAAACATTTTGGTAGGTTTTGGTAATTTTAAAACTCAAAACATAATCTGCAAGAATATTTACATTCTCTATTGAATTTGATTATATGAGATATTTTGAATTTCATTTGTGCCATTGAAAACAATGTGTTTATTTAGAATTGTTAAACAAAAGAATATTAGGCTGGGTGCAGTGGCTCATGCCTGTAGTCTCAACACTGTGAGGCTGAGGCAGGAGGATTGCTTGAGTCCAGGAGTTCGAGACCAACCTGAAGACCTCACTTCAAACAAAAAAAAGAATATTAAAGGCTTTAGGTTTATGGGATGTACCATTAAGTCGATCAACTCCAGAGTGACTATGCTTAAGGAATTGTTCATTAAAATGGTAATGCCCACTATTAATATTAAATGACATTATTTTCCTTTATCAAGACATGGTTTTAAGCATCCTGCCTTTAGGAAGCTTTTTTTTTTTTTGAGATGGGGTCTTACTTTGTCACCCAGGCAGGAATACAGTGGCACACTCACAGCTCACTGCAGTCTCAACCTCCTGGGCTCAAGCAATCTACCTGCTTCAACTTTCTGAGTAGCTGGAACCACAGGTGTTTGCTACCATGCCCAGCTAGTTTTTGTATTTTTTATAGAGACAGAGTTTTGCTGTGTTGTCCAGGCTGGTCTTAAGCTCCTGGGCTCAAGTGATTATCTCACCTTGGCCTCCCAAAGTGCTGGGAGGTATGAGACAGTGTGCCTAGCCACCTTATGAATCTTGCAGATAGGCCTTCAAGTCTCTTGTTTATGCTAACCATGTTTTGGTATTGATTTGGCAAGTGCATTATAGGGCCAAGGAAAAATAGATCAGAATCCAGTTTATAGTTAAAAATTATAGCATGGGATTGTTAGGGGTGGTTATTCTGGGACATAGCAAATTAGTCAATATTTTCTGTAATACTAGTAGTCTAGATATAGGAGGTTATGTTCCAGTATCTCATGTTCCCATGATCTCATTTTTACCTTTTGGAATTATTCACCCTCTCCATTCCCTGCTATAGGGCCTACATAATTTTAAAAATGGGAGTAACTGGGAAAGGGACAAGGGCAAATGTTGATGGTAGTAAACATTAAGGAAGCACTTACTATTTGGCAAATACTGTTATAAGTGTTTTACATATATTCACTAATCCTTGCTCACAGTAGGTTTGTGAAGTAAGTATTAGTAGTATATTCATTTTATAGATTTATAAACTGACACAAAGGAGTTAAGTAACTTATCCAGGGTTACAGAGCTAGGAAGAGGCTGACTTAAGAATCAAACCCAGCCAATCTGTCTCCGTAGTTCATGCCTTTCTGCTGTTCTGCAAAAGAAAAGGGTATATCTAAGTCTGAGAATCTTATGGTATTTCAAAGTTAATTATAAATAATTTCTGAATTATCAGAATTTAATGATCCTGTTCAGTGTTTTTTTCTCGGAGCTGGTGGGCTGGTGGCAGGGAGAGTCTTGGATTTTAGGGTCTAAGAGTCTAACAGCCATTCTCTTAGACCCTGGAAATATAATAGAGTGTTTTACTTCAGGATGTTTTTGCCAACCTTTTGTTGAAGACATTCTTTTTACCCACTCTTTAGGGTTTCTCTTGGATAACCTAATATAAAACAGAGAAACAAATTTTAACAGTGCAGAAAGATTTTGTCAGTTTTTAATTCAATGCACGGTGACTACTACTGGTAGAAATAATACAAAAAGAAAACTAATTAAAATTGGCTAAAATTGCACACAGCAAATTTTTTTTTTTTTGAGGCAGAGTCTCGCTGTGTCGCCAGGCGCCAGGCTGGAGTGCAGTGGCGCGATCTTGGCCCACTGCAACCTCCACCTCCCCCGTTCAAGCAATTCTCCTGCCTCAGCCTCCTGAGTAGCTGGGACTACAGGCGCGTAGCACCAAGCCCAGCTAATGTTTGTATTTTTAGTAGAGATGGGGTTTCACCATGTTGGCCAGGATGGCTCCATCTCTTTACCTCCCTCATGATCCACCTGCCTTGGCTTCCCAAAGTGCTGGGATTACAGGTGTGAGCCACTGCACCTGGCCAGCAAAATTTTTTAGAATTCAAAAATTTATTGAAGCATTCTGTCTTTTGTTAATGCGAAAAACTCAAAACTTTATCTGGGAAGATCGGGCTTGGTAAAAAAATAAAAGTAATCAACCATGACAGCTACAAATTTATTTAAAAACTGGTAAATTTTCTTTACTAAAACTTGTTGGATTAATACAATCCTGGTAATATTTAACTGTGTAAAATTTGACTCAGTAAACTGTATTTGGTAGAAATTATGGTTATAAAAGAACATGTTCATGAAAGCTTTCACTAATCAATGAAATATGGTACATAAAAAAGTGACTAATGAATCTTTGTTATAAAGTTTACTTGGAAAAAGATTGATCCTGAAGGTAACAGTTCTTTAGCAATGAAAATAAAAATTCATTGCTGAAGAAAACAGGTCTTTAGCAGTGAAAATAAATCAACCGAGCCACTGTCGATTTGTATTTTAATTAAAAAATTTCTTTAGCAATGAAAAAAAAATGTAAATGAGTACAGAATTATATTCTAAAGCAACTCTTAATGAAAATCAATTTTAAGATAAATACATATGTATATGTATATTTATACATATTCTCTTTCACAATTAGTCCCATTTTTAAAATTATGTAGGCCATATGGAGAGAGTGAATAACTCCAAAAGGTAGAAACAAGATTATTGGCAACATGGGATAGTGGAACATAGTCTCCTGTATCTCAACTATTTGTATTACAGAAAATATTGACTAATTTGTTATGTCCCAGAATAACTACCCCTAACAATTATATATATATATATATATATATATATAATTTTTGTGTGTGAGGAGCTTTTCTGGAAAATTCTAAAACTGGATTTAGAATTGGAAAAACTGGAAAATTCTGAAAGAGCTGTACCACTGATAATTTTATATATATATAAATATATATATATATATATTTTTTTTTTTTTTTTGAGACGGAGTTTCACTCTTGTTACTCAGGCTGGAGTGCAATGGTGCGATCTCGGCTCACCGCAACCTCTGCCTCCTGGGTTCAGGTAATTCTCCTGCCTCAAGTAGCTGGCATTACAGGCATGCACCACCATGCCCAGCTAATGTTTTGTATTTTTAGTAGAGACGGGGTTTAGTAGAGTAGGATGGTCTCGATCTCTTGACCTCGTGATCCACCTGCCTCGGCCTCCCAAAGTGCTGGGATTACAGGCTTGAGCCACTGCGCCCGGCAATATATATATATTTTATAATTTATATATATATGTATATATATAAATTTTTTTTTTTTTGAGGAGGAGTTTCACTCTTGTTACCCAGGCTGGAGTGCAATGGTGCAATCTTGGCTCACCGCAACCTCCACTTCCTGGATTCAAGTGATTCTCCTGTCTCAGCTGTGAAAGTAGCTGGTACTACAGGCATGCACCATTATGCCTGGCTAATTTTTGTATTTTTAGTACAGATGGGGTTTCGCCATGTTGGCCAGGGTGGTCTCAAACTCCTGACTTCAGGTAATCCACCTGCCTCAGCCTCCCAAAGTGCTGGGGTTATAGGCATAAGCCACTGCCTGGTTGATAATTGTATTTTAATTAAATATTTTTATAAACATTAAGTCAAAATGTACCTAGAATCAAAATAGCAGTGTTTGAAAAGTATCTTGTTCTGTGAGTATGGTAATGAACAATTCAAAACAGACTCCTCCTCTCAGGACTTTATAAGTTAGTGGGGAAGGCTGACATTAAATACTTTGTTACATAATGAATTATTTAGATAAATGTTGAGGTAATAGGGTGAGTTGATCTAATTTGGCAATTGGAAATTTAAGTTGTACAGAGTAGAAGTTAATTTAGATAAGTGCGTTAGAAGATGACATGTAAAAGTAGCTATGGCTGGAAATAGCATGCTTCCTTCAAGATTACTAAGGCTAATGGATTTTAAGCCAGAGGCATACATTATCAGATTTACATTTAAAAATGGATAACTATAAAAAATGTGGAAAATGATTTTAGAGAATAGAGGTGGCAAAAGAAGATCTCAGTAGACTTGTTGGGAAGCTCCTGCAGCAATACAAAAATTCAGGTAAGAGATGAGTTGAAAAAAGTGGAGGCAACGGAGAAGGGGACAGTACATAGCTTTGAGAACCTTGTAGGGGGCAAGAATTGTCTGGATTTTGTGGTTGATTGTCTGTGGGACTGACAAAGTAGAGAATGTCAAAGATGATTTCCAGTTTTCTGGCTTGAATAAGGACGAAACATGGGGAAACGAAAGGACGAACAATTTTTGGAGAAAATATGTGGACATGATGATTTTGAGATGTTTATGAGACATGTGGACATGTCTGGGAGGCAATTGGATATACAGATCAAGAGTTGTAATCTGGGCTAGAGAAAAAAAGGTTGTTATTACCATTGAAGCCACTGAAGTGGATGGGCTACTTATACTTAGAGAAGTGGTACACAGTGAGAAAACAGGGCCTAGGAGTCAGTTCTGAAGAATGCCAATAAATAAAAGGTAGAAGTATGAACTGGCAAAGATGTTTAAGAAGTATCAAGCAAAGAAGTGAGAGAGAAATTTGAGGTGTGTTAGAGAAGCTACAAAAGTATAGTTCAGTATTTCAAGGAGAAGTAGTCAACATTGTCTAATGCTTTTGAGAACTTTGATTAGGACTAAAAACACAACCTGTGGGTTTATAGACAAAGAGCTCCTAGTGTCCTTTAGCAGGGCAGTTTAGGGGAAGACTGTACTGGAAGCCGGTTTGGAGTAGTTAAGGAGTGACAGAACTTGAAGAAGCAGAGGCGGTGAGGGGTTGGGGTAATTTGGGTACTTGAAGTGGAAACAATGGGGTAGACAACTTCTTATGGTATGAAAATGTCTCTTTCTCTCTTTTTTTTTTTTTTTTTTTTGAGACGGAGTCTTGCTTTGTTGCCTAGGCTGGAGTACGGTGGTGTGAGTCTCAGCTCGATGCAACCTCTGCCTCCAGGGTTCAAGCAATTCTTTTGCTTCAGCCTCCCAAGTAGCTGGAATTACAGACACCCACCA